CCTGCAGGCGCCGGTAGCTGCTCTCCTCGTACTCCTGGAAAGCCGCCCTCATGCCCAGAGTCTCGTAGAGCTCCTTCACCTTTGCCACCTTCTCAGGCTCCTTGCAGCCGTAGTTCTCCTGAGAAAAGGCCGGAATGAGGGGGGCTGAGGTCCGGCTCCCAGCCCTTGCCAGAAGGCGCTCGGTCAAAGCGTGGCAGGAGCCCCTCTCATCCCTGGCACCCCCTCACGCTGCTCACACCAACCCACCCTTCTCCCGGCCAGGCAGCAGCACCAGGCCGCTACGCAGCGGCATGTGGCGTTTTGGGTGTACGTTACACCTCTGCACCGTGTCCTGGGGGAGGGAGTGCACACCACCTCTCCCCCGTTTTCAGGGGGTTTCCGTCAAACTGGTGGTGTTACCTCCAGGATCTGCCTCTGGTCAGGCGTGACCCGACGCAGACACTCCACCACCAGCCAGCTGCACTTGTTGTCCTGGATATCAGTGCCAACCTTCCCCGTCAGCTCCGGGTCCCCGAAGCAGTCCAGGTAATCATCCTGCACAGAGATGGAAACACGTGAGCGCCACAGCCAGCGTCTTACTGGCACCGAAGGGCGGGGGAGCCACCTCCTACCTGGATCTGAAAGAATTCACCCATCTCCAGCAAGATGGCCTTGGCATTGTCGTGCTCCTCCTTACTGTCAATACCAGTCTATCGGGGAAAAGCAGGAATCCGGCCTTCCAGTGCCCGCCTCCACCCTCACTTCTCCCAAACCCCCTGCGCTCCTCGACAGCCTCGTACGAAGGGTTAGGCCCCTCCTGAGAGCGTTTCCTTGAAACTCACCATGTACATGGCAGCAGCCACGGGCAGGTAGAAGGAGTAAAACGCCGTCTTGTACTTAACGATCGCCTTGTACCTGCGGCAGAGGAACCAGGCTCAGTGACGAAGCCCAGGCCCTCCCCTCCCACCAGGCTCTGCGGATCAGGGCCAGCAGGGGAAAGGCAGCATCTCTCCCCAGACCAGCTCCCAGGCTCTGACAGCGTGAACAAGACCCCCTCCCCAAGGCCTGGCAGGCGACAG